GGACTCACTAATCACTCTTGCTGGAATGTCTGTTGATTAGGGGTGACAACACATTGCAGTGGGTCAATCTTCTGCACAAAACCTCATTAAAAGATTGTAAAGCAAGGTTACTTTGAGGACTAAGGTACGTTTGACCCAGCTGTGGTATTCTCAGTCACATCATATGCATGTGAAAATTGAGCATTGAATAAGGAAGACCGAAGACGAATTGATGTATATGAATTACGGTGCTGGGGAAGAATAATGAAAGTACTGTGAACTGCCAAAAGAACAACCAAATCTGTCTTAGAAGTAGTACAGCCAGAGTGCCCCTTAGCGGCAAGAATGGTGAGACTTCCTCTCACGCTGGACGTGTTATCCAGAGAGACTAGTTCCTGGAGCAGGACATCATGCTTGGTGAATTGTGAGGCAGCACAAAGAGGAATTGGAGAAGATGAATCGGCACAGTCGCTGCATTGATGGGCTCAAATATAAGAACAATTGTGAGGAAGGCGCAGGACTGGAAGGTGTCTTGTTCGGTTGCACACAGGATTGCTATATGCCAAGACCAACTCAGCTGCACCTAACAACAACATGTTCTCCCAAAAAATGACAGTGATGTCTCTAAAGTGAACCAGGGACATAGATAAATCATACATGTATGACTGGACTTTGTGATCACACTTACTTGATGCCCTAATCTAAGAAAATATATGACATGGCCCTACCCGATACTTGCCCTCATGGAGAGATCAAGCAAGTGAAATTTTGCTGGAGCTCATGCGGGAGGAGTTGCATCAGTGCATTCCCAAGGAGCTGCCATAAATGCAGGCTGGATTGAAGATGTGGACCAGGGGATATCATTGCTGATATTAGATGGACCGTGACTGAGAGCAGAGCATGTTAGAAAGATGTTTACTTGTGATTTTGAATCTATGTGGATATTCAAAAATGGATCTAGGGGTATTATGGAAACCATAGCCTTCTTTACTTGAGCGCTCAGAATTTCAGCTTTAATGCAGAACTAAGAGTTTACATGTGTCTAGCTTAGCCAAGAATCCTTAAGGAGGCTGTAAGTCTGAGTAAGTGCTGGACTGCTAACCACAAGATCAGTGATTCAAACCCAACAGCTTTTCTGCAAGAAGCCCTGCATAAATAAGGTCACTGTTAGAGCAACTCAGTAATAGAGGGTTGGGCCTTTGGGCTTAAAAAAAAAATTGGCCTTAATAACATTGTTTTATTGCATTTATAGTTTCTAGTTGAAAGCTTCCGTTTTTAACATTTTTCCACCCAAACCATTGTGTTAGGAGCTAATCCAAACATCACACCATTCCATAGTTCAATATATCAAGCAATGCTATACAATCGCTACCACAATCAGTTCTAAAACATGTTCTTCCTTCTTGAACTCCTTCTTGATAATCAGCTCCCCTTACCCCTACCCCCACTGTATCCCCCAGGATCCCTTATTCTAGTTGTTGTCTCTATAGATTCACTATCCTGGGTTTCCTAGACTGAAAAACATTTAAAAACACACAACAGTGAGTCAAGAATGCCACCAACAATGACAAAATAGAGACAGACCCCAATATGGGGGCCGGGGGACAGAAAATATGAAAAAGCAGATCTATCACAAAGTGTATCAAAAGGGAGATCACGTAACAAAATTTTAGTCATTCAAGTCAGATTTATCATTTTTATCTGCTATAATCATCTCTCCAATACTCTCTGTCTGATATCTCTGGGAATTCACCAGCAGCTAATTCCCTGTGTACATCCTGCAAATGTATTTTGGGCTTCCACTGTCATCCACAGCCTTTTGCACACCAGAATGTCACAATTTAAACTTTGATACTATTCCCTCCCTCAGTTTTGGATTATATAGTTTATAATCCTTGGAGCATGGATGTTGGTGTGCTTCTTCCATGGGGGCTTAGTTGACATCTCACTCAGATGGCTGCTTGTTTGAAAACAAGCCTTTAAGACCAGACACTATTTCTGGTAGCCGGACTCCATCTAGTTTCTTCAACACATGTTGCTACAGCACCCGTATCTTCTGTGCTTCCTTCGTGATGGCCAGTATTGAGCAGGGCGCTGTTGAAAGAGCTAATTGTTCTTAGATTGGGGTTAGGATTAAGTGCAAAGCTTTTGGGACTTTTTAAACTTCATTTAACATGATCAGTTTTAGCTGCTGCTGGCCAAGGTGTCTTTTCTGGGACCAGCTATAGAAACATCATTAATAGTCACCAAATTATTTTTTACACAAATTTGAAATCTTGGCTTTTGTCATTTTAGATTTTCAAGCAGTACAACTTTGAATTGAAAAGATTGAATACTGTCTTTAGTATTCTAGTCTGAAGTCTCCCCACATATGACAATGCCACAATTTTTCTAAGGTTGACTACTGCATTAAATTTCATGCAGTAAGGTTAATTCCGAAGCCTGTTGCAAGTAAGCCAAGTCATGAGACAATGAAAGAAGGGAGAGCTTGACTGTCCATTGCACACGAATCTCGGAAATCCCCAGGAGCAGTTCCACCCTGTCCGATCAGGTCTCCGTGAGTGAGAACCGCCTCAGTGGCCGTGACTTTGATTATTTATTTATCTGAAGCACCCAGGAACACAGACTGGAGTCCATGTCCGTCAAAATCTGCGTCCACTAGCAGATTTTTAAATTTACAAATAGTAATTATACAAACAATATAAAATGTATTGAAATAGAAGAAGAGTGAAGTCAGGGAAGTCTAGCAAAACACTGAGGCCCCGTGCAGCATCTCAGGGCACTTCGAAAGGCTAGGGTTACGGTGTGAGCCCGAAATCCACTTTGAGTCTCCACGTCAAGTCAGCCTGCACCGGGTCTCTCTGACCACGGAATGGCAATGTGGCAAGCTTTGCCCTCAGACAGAGCATGTTTGAAAGTCGATTGCTGAGACTTCCTGGGAGCTGTCTTTGTCTTGTTTGTGTCCTGTTGAAACCCTCGTGGTGAGGTCGTGGGCAGTTCCAAACCTCCAGGTGCCCCAAGGCAGAACGAGGAGGCTGCACTCCCTTAGCAAGTGCAGTTCCACCCTGTCCTGTAGGATGGCCGTGAGTCAGACTGGACTCGAGGGCAGTGAGCATTTTTGTTTGGTGTCCTGTTTAAGACTTAATAAATGCGTCTGAATAAATGACATTTGACTTTGGAGTCTCTTTTTCCCCTAAAAGGAGCACTGGTGGTTTGTTTGTCCAGTGAGTGTCGGCTGCTAACTATAAGGTCCACAGTTCAAAACCACCAGCCGCTCCACAGGATAGAGAGATTATCATTTTTTATAAAGACTTAAAGACTCAGAAACCCTCACGTGGAGTTGCTTTGAGTCAGAAGTAACTCTACGGCAGTGGGGTTTTTTGTTTTTATTTTCCTAAAACACTGCTCCACGGGGTATCAAAAACTTTTGGGAAAAGATAGGGGTAATTTTTGCACAACACGGTGAATGTAATGTCAATGAATTCTATACTTCAAAAACAAATTTTGTGTTATATATGTCTTACCCCAATAAAGAATATTCTTTTCAAAAAGGACTGAAAAGCCCAATGAGTTTGGAAAACAATGCATGCATCCTCCCTCTTCTTCATAGTCACCATCCTGCTGAGTACAGTAAGTGCTCTGAAATGTCCCGGTTTCCTGCTTGAATGGTGTTTGCTTGCTTGTTTTTCAAAATTGTTGGGCCAAAGAGCCTTCTTCCCCAAAGGACTATTTACCAACCTTGACAAGATATTGGTGTGCCATGCTTCTACCAAATTTACCAAAAGATGGGTGTCTGAGCCATTAGAAGGCCTTTCTCCTTGAGACAGCAGTTTAGACCGCTGACTACTTACAGACTCAGTTTATAGAGTCATTGCATGATTTTGGTTGCATGGACCAATGGGCAGTGGTAGAAGATAAGTAAGAGCCTTGTTTATTTATTATGAGTGAAAGTGTACAGAGTAAATTGGATTTTTCTTCAACAAATCATACCAATTTTTGGTTTGTGACATTAATTTCAATCCCCACAATGCAATAGCACTCCTCCTATTCCTCCCTGATTTATATGCCTCTTGTAATCCCTTCCTGAATTCTCATATCTCAACTTTATTTCAGGACAGATGTTGCCCTTTTGATCTCATATAGTTGGTTGTTCTAGAGAATATGTTGCCTCCACGGTATTATTTTTCACCTGATAGACCTATTATTTGACTGAAAGTTGAGTCATGGTGTGAGTTTGGTTCCAAGGTTGAAGAGTACCTTAGGACCATACTCCTGGGAGTTCTACCAGTCTCTATCAGATCAGTAAATCGGTGGG